GAGACAATCCCTGAAATGGTCATGACTATTCTAGAAGTTTAGATGGCTAAAGAGCAGTATAATGAAGTTTTAAAACTCTACACGTGGCATATCCATTGTGGTATTACAATATCACTCAGCAACACTTACATTCTTTTAACCATTGTCTTAAAATGACTCTGTCAACAAATAGTTCTGCATATAAGACATGGGTCCCTAAGCAGCAGCTGGCCACCAGAACTCCGAGCGGCTGTCAGGGCGAGGCCGTCAAGAGCGAGTGAGAGACACCCTAATTCCAAGCAGGGCAAGAACACCGGAACCAGCCACGCTCTCCCATAACTGCCTCGTCTCGCCCTCGCTAGCCGACAGCCGCCGTTGACTCGCGGCTCCACGGAGCGCGCCGCAGCCTCTGCGCAAGCGCAGGCTCCGCCTCCTCGCTCCGCTCCGGGTCCCCCGTTCACCCCTCCGACAGCCGCTAGAGTAGCCGGCCCCTTGCGCGCGCCTCCGTTTACCCCTCGGTCTCAGCGGGCAGCAAGGCGGCGTGTAGAGTATGGAGGGGGAGAGCACGTCAGCGGTGCTCTCTGGTTTTGTGCTCGGCGCACTGGCCTTCCAGCACCTCAACACTGACTCGGACACGGTGAGCCGAGGGTGCGAGGCGGGATCTCTTGTCGCCGCAGAAGAGGCCTGGCGCACGGCCTCCTTCCCCCGGCCGCGGTCGGAACCTCCTCACGGTCGTCGCCCGGGCCCCGCCCGCCCACGTTCTCCCCCACGCCGACTCTCTACCCTACTGTTTCTACCTGCGCCCTCTTCTTGAGGGTCCTTGATGTGCCTTCTGCTGCTAAAGTCTTTCCCAAGATTAGCCCTCCCTCCTTTAACCTCTATTTCTGTTCCCCGACCTGAGTGGCCACACGCCCGCATTTCTTTCCCTTTCATCAGTCTACCTTTTTTCGGGTCAAACTTAGGAGAGAAAGTTCACTTAGCGTCGTCCCGCCGCAGCTAGGAAAGTTGCCTGCCAACTTTCCGTTTCCCATAATTACCGACGATGTCATTTTCAAAGACAGCTGTAAATTTTTTCCATTCAGAGCTGCTGCTGTGCTTTTTTTTTCTCCCCCCCGATGTTAAGATGTCAGGGGAATAATAGATGTTGCATTCGGTGACTTTTTTGGGAAATACAGTGGAAGTTAACAAGTGGGTGAAAAAGCTTAATTTAGTATATTGGATATCGGATTTTATGTGTTTGTATTGGTATCAGATTTATTGTAAGGGCTCAGATGGTTCCTTTTCCAGTGATTTCCGTTATAAACATTGTTTATCCTCAAATATTCAATATTTAAATGCTTATTGTATGTATTTTCCTAGGTACAAAAAACTCTGGATGAAGTTTAATGAAATGGTTTTTAATACAGTGCCTGTTTTCTAAAATTTTATTTTTACGAAATTTTAAAAAGAGCACGAAAACTTAAAGCTTCAGAAGTAGTGTTTATAGTGCTTAGTAACTTGCTAAAAAAAAAAATCTAAAATACCACCTACTGTGCTAATACTGTTTAGAGAACGCCATACTGAATAAAGTTTAGTAATTTATGCTAAACTTTGTACCAATTTATAATACAAGATCTGTCTTGTCGAATATTTTTTTTTGGACCCTATTCTAATAAAGATCAGAATTAATATACCTTTTTATGCAATTTTAAATAACCTTGCAGGTTAACATGTATCAAAAGACCCAATATATATCATTTCTAATATGTGTGTAGCTGTGGAAGGAGCCCTGCTGGCACAGTGGTTAAGGGTTCCTAGCTAACCTAAAGGTGGCAGTTGAAACCTACCGGCTGCTTAGCAGGACAAAGATGTGACGATTTGCTTCCATAGAGATTACAGCCTTGGAAACCCTGTGTGGCAGTTCTACCCCATCCTATAGGGTGGCTATGAGCTGGAATCCATTACAGCAATGAGTTAATGGGTGTAGCTGTGGAAATGACTTTGGAATGCCCTTAGTGTAGGTATCAATAGAATGGATCCTTAAATCCTCTGTAGCTTATGGGGCGAACCCTTGGGAAGTAACTTTAGAGTTAAAAAGGCTCCTGTTTCTGAGATCTTTTTCTAAAAGTCTTTTAAAGTGTGGTTTCCTGGATGGCTACACTTGCATTGCCTTTGCTTCATTTCCCAGGGTTTGCCCTTGGGAGTATCAAAATCGATTAACACTAGAGTATAGAGTTCTAGATTTTTTTTTCCTTTGATTCCTGTAGACTCATAGTGTGGAAATACTCCTTTTGTGCTCTCTTCTTTTTATGAAATGGGGAAAAAAAATGCATTCTTAACTAGCTATAAAGAAGAAAAAATTCTTAAGTGTCTGTCGAGCACATTAGGTCTTTAAGTATGCCAAAAGAAAGTTCAATTATCTGAAATTCAAAGAAATCACCACTTTTATGGCAAAATG